GAAACTTGCTATTTTTGGTCAGAGCTCCGCTTTTACAATATTCAGTTTTATCATGTATCATTTTATAAGCAGGTTATATTTTACCCTCATGTATGAGCACTCATCAGGAAATTTTCTGTTGCAAATCAATCTCGGATGTTGTAAAAAAAATAATAAATTATTATTGTTTGCCAACGCTTCTGTAGCAGAAAAAAAATTGTAATTGTTCAGGTTTCTCTCGATAACCTTTATAGAAGTAGTCAAATCGCAGTGGTGTATGGTCTAAAGCGTTAAAAATAGGCAGGCAAACAGCTTAAACAATTAGCCTGCGCCACAAACGTAACTTAACTTCTAACGGGGGTTAGATTACGTCTGTTACGCAGGCTATAAACAACTAACTAGACGTAAAGCTTAAATTACCTTCTTAAGGAAGAAACGCTGGACGAAACACAGCACTATGATCTGTGAAATTAGGGACTATTACACTCTTAAACAAATTTTAATGCCTGCCTTATGAACAATTGTCGTGAGAGGAGGACCTTGAGCGGAGACCTCGTGGTTTATTAAGGCTCGTTCGGGCATTTCCTTCACTTATAGTAACAGTGGTAATTATTTTCGCCAGAAAATTACCAAAATGAAAACAACAAAAACAAAAAAACAAAGAAAGAAAGAGAAGACGTAAATTAAATACAATTTTGTATACAGTAAATCTTTTAGTTTAAAAGATAATAAGCATGGATAACAAAGTTACATTATAATGCAATCTCCAACAAGGGGAAGTACTTCGAATAGGGGGAAATAATGAAGACACGCCTACATAAAAATAGAGCGATAGTATTATTAAATCAGCATTAATATTGCCACGCCCTCAGTTGCGGATGGGGAGAAACCTCAATGGCGCGGGTAAAAGTTCAAAATCCTCTTTTTGCAAACCTCAATATCTCTCTGTAGTGTAACAAATTAGAAATGAAATTTGTTGGGGTTAAATGTTCCTCTACTTTTTTACACTTTAGGTGAGTTAAACATAGTTTCAGGTAGGTTAAGTGTAAACTATGAACCATGACTTATACTCAATCACGCTTTCTCAAACACTGTTGTTTAAAACCTTTATAAGCTCTTTGGTATTTTTGGCAATTTTAAATAAGTTAAATAACTGATTACTATAGATTAATATCGGGGTTAATATACGACATGTACAACAAGAAACTTTTTTAGTCAAGAAGGATATGTACCTATTGGTCTTTATTTAGCTTATTGAGCCTTAAGTGTAGGTCCTCTTCATATTTTTTATGTATTCATTGGTAACAAAACGTGATGTTTAAATTTCACACAATGTTAATTTTAGAAAGATATCCTGGATATTTTTTTTGAATCAAAATATCACAATACATACGATCGTTACCTAGCACATAAAAGCGCGGCTTGCGTTTCCATGAACCAGTAGTCAACTGAAGAAGTTTTGGAGATGAAGACTCTAATTCTGTTGGCATTCCTTGGCTTTGTACTGGCCCTTAGCTTGGCTATTCCATTCAACGGAGATACTGCTGAAGCATATGATGCTGAAAGTAACGATCTTGCGAGGGAGGTCCAAGCAGACGAAAAAGAAGGGTAAGAAAGACACGTAGCCTGTTTCATTGATGTAGTTACTTATAGATTTTCAAAGACTTAATTGTAGCTTATCTGTAATGGTTAAAAATGTACTCATTTCCAATTCCATCATATGTATGTGTCCTTTTTCATTACTCTCCGAACAGTCCTACGTTTAAGTGATTACGTCGAGGTTACAGTTGTTGAGGCCCTAACATAGAATTCAAACAAACGAAAACGCTTTGTCAAAATGTATATTTTTTTTTTTCATAAAGTAACGTTTTTCATCCAGCAAATCAGTTATGAACCCGGCAGGGTAATTTTCTGTTCATTATAGTGTATTTGTACTTTGTTAAATCCCTAGCTAAAACAAGGATCATTTGGTATTGTAATATAAAAAATATATAATTATATAAAAACTTATTTCACTAGATCGCCAACAAAGCACATAAATCATGATTTCGGCTGTGAAGACCTGCGTCGGTCTGCCAAGTTCCCCACGTAGCCTTCTTTAATGATCGGTAAATCACCATAATTATAGCCTTTGCCGAATAGTTACACAAAAAGGTATAGTTTACAGTTTGATTATTTGGATGCATGAATAGAGTTTGAAACAAACAATGGAAACAAATTTCCAGTTAATACAAAACTAAGTATCATATGATAAACATTAAATATCGAATATCAATTTCGTTTGCCTAAACAGCAACAACAAAGATATGAACCACAGTAACGAAAACGAAGAAGACCAAGAAGACGATGACGAAAACGTTTATGCTGTACGGCAAGTAGACGATGATGACGAGGAAGGAGAGAACGAAGATGAGAATGAAAACGCTTTGATCAATCCAGGAAATGAAGTTGAAGATCCTATCTGGCCTCTTCTCATTGGTCGCGCAGTATTTCGACGTTTCCGCCGCCGATGTAGAGGCCGGCGCGCGGGTTGGCGTCGCCGACGCAGAGGCCGTCGCGGGGGTTGGCGTCGCAGACGTAGAGGCCGTCGATGGGGTTAAAGCTGGAATTGTTAAAAGTAGGTGGATATATCTGAATCTAATGTATATACAAATCTATCCCCCTACCCATCCGTTTGTATATATTTGTCTGTCGACCTGTTTCTTTGTATGTCTATTTATCTATACATTGTTTCAACTACAATATGGACAATCTGCAATCTGTATTTCTTTTCGCTCATCTCCACAATTTGTTTTTACTATATTTACCAGATAGAGTGGGCTTATTTTACCATATATGTAGGGAAGTTACCACTCTTTTTCACAAGTTGGTGGTTTATGGTAGTTTAAACTTTGTAAGGAACTAGGTAAAACAGTGCGGAAGTATGTTGACCGGTTGCGCGACTTGTCCTGGGGCGGCAACCATCTTGCACTGTTTAAAGGATGATCTGTCTTTTTTTTTCTTTTTTTCTATTCTCGCTTGACAGTACAGAGTGAGAATGGGTCATTGAATGTTTATTTTATTAGTAGCAACGTAAAACACGGAAGAAATCGATTTATTGTCACTTTGATTTTTCAAAAATGTCACTAAATGCAGGTATTTGTACGACATTACCTTGCGATTACAATCGATTATTACATTATTTATTTATTATTTTTATTTCATTCATTTTTTGCATTTTTTTTGTCATTTACTTTTTTATTCCTTGCACCTTTTTCTAGGTTTTTCCGAACGTCCCTGTTAGAAGCGACTGCCTGGACAGAGATTTAATGATTGAATCACACAGCGAACATGTTTATCTAGTTATTGTAAACTCTCTTGTGTAAAACATGGTTTAGTCCTATGGTTGGCTAGAACTCCTTTACGTTTGAAAGTTTATGAAATAGATTTACACTGACTTAATATCTTAGCATGCATATTACAAAACTTTCTACTAAAGATATGTAAGTGAAATTAAACTGAATAAAAAAATGCAATTAAACGAGCTGTTGAGTTCTTCTGTGTTTTAGTGTAACTTCGAATTGGCTAAGACAATGGAAAACATTATTCAATATGGTTTCTGTAGGACAGGACTCGTATATCCTTTCTGACCATGTAGTCACTTTATTGATCGGGAACTCTTGACAGCCTACTGCTGGTCTCCATCATGTGATGATTTCATTTGTCACATTAACATACAGCCGACGCATTTGCCTGTTAAAATTTTCTCAGTGTTGTTTTCACTGTTTTCACATGAATTCATCCTTAATCCTAGTCGGTCCGGGGAGGGCTTTCGAAGCCCCTCTCCCTACTGTCCTCGCTAAAATGTTGAATAACTTCAAAACCGTTCAAGCTATGGCCACCAAACTTTGCGCCTTTTCCTAAAAATTATCTCGGGACATTTAAAATTCGTCGTGACCTGTTCGTCAATATTTAGGTTAAGAATGGAACCAGGTTTATAGTAAAAGCAAAGATATGACAAAAGGCTTTAAAACCAAATTAATTGGTTGTTCATTTCGCTAGAACTCTTTTTCAATCCAGAATATCTGTATCACGATATCGATTATATTTCTTGTGATATCAAAATAAGTATATCCCTATATTTACAAATTTAGGCTCAAAGCAAATAATCTCAGTTTAATCTCCTACGACCGACTTTGAATGGAGTGAAAGGAATCCGTGAAGTGGGGAATCATCAGTTATTGGAAGGGAAATACACCTATTACTCCAATTTCCAAGTTGAGAAGGATTCTTAAATAAGTGCAGGTTCCTTTAGAAATCGGTGTCCACAATTATATGTTGCCCAAGGATATCTATTTCAGCTGATAATCGATACGGTTTATTACGAGTAAAAACAAACGTTTTGCATACAATTGGATAAACAGTACCATAGAGCAACTTTTAGAAAACGACTGAGAGTGAAAGACCAAAACTCCGAGGTTATTTTACAGGCTGAGAAAACCTAGTCTTATTTATTTACAGTCATATTTTTTATAGAGGTACTTATTACTGACAAAATGCGAGTCAGTGTTTGCAAAAATACCTAGTTGCGAGATTAAGTCCTTTATAGCGGGGCAGACACTAAAGAAGTGAAGGGAGATAAAAACATAGTATATATACAATAACATTGAGAGGAAGACCAATATTAGAGTATCCTTTGCATGCGTGAAAAACCGAAACTCCTCGTAAACACTTGTTATCAAACGCACGTCACGTCGGACGAAATATTTGTTTCCTCTCTCATTTATTCCCTCCGAGTTTTGGAATTTTATGTACTAAACGTCAACTAATGGTTATCGCTGATTGTTAACGAATTGTGCACGTTGCTTGGGTCCATAAAAAAATGTTAGAATTTTTGGAGTGAGAATAAGATCTCATCGTTGGAAAGGTTAAGGTAATACAAGCGAAGATATTTCGATTTAATATTAGCTGCAATATAAACAGTGAGGCGCACAGCAACCAAGCGTGGAACATGGTAACTACGCTTGTTTCTTTCCATGAGTGAGTCTCTCAGTCTATTGCTCATGGATATTGATGTGTTAACCCTGGGACGTTAACGCAAAGTGATCTCCCCACCGTGGTACAAGGGGGAAGAGAGTTTTTGACATGTTCAAGTATTTCTGAAAGATTATACCTTCAGTGGATATTTGTACTTTGTTAAATCCCTAGCTAAAACAAGGATCATTTGGTATTGTAATATAAAAAATATATAATTATATAAAAACTTATTTCACTAGATCGCCAACAAAGCACATAAATCATGATTTCGGCTGTGAGGACCTGCGTCGGTCTGCCAGGTTCCCCACGTAGCCTTCTTTAATGGTGGGTAAATCACCATAATTATAGCCTTTGCCGAATAGTTACACAAAAAGGTATAGTTTACAGTTTGATTATTTGGATGCATGAATAGAGTTTGAAACAAACAATGGAAACAAATTTCCAGTTAATACAAAACTAAGTATCATATGATAAACATTAAATATCGAATATCAATTTCGTTTGCCTAAACAGCAACAACAAAGATATGAACCACAGTAACGAAAACGAAGAAGACCAAGAAGACGATGACGAAAACGTTTATGCTGTACGGCAAGTAGACGATGATGACGAGGAAGGAGAGAACGAAGATGAGAATGAAAACGCTTTGATCAATCCAGGAAATGAAGTTGAAGATCCTATCTGGCCTCTTCTCATTGGTCGCGCAGTATTTCGACGTTTCCGCCGCCGATGTAGAGGCCGGCGCGCGGGTTGGCGTCGCCGACGCAGAGGCCGTCGCGGGGGTTGGCGTCGCAGACGTAGAGGCCGTCGATGGGGTTAAAGCTGGAATTGTTAAAAGTAGGTGGATATATCTGAATCTAATGTATATACAAATCTATCCCCCTACCCATCCGTTTGTATATATTTGTCTGTCGACCTGTTTCTTTGTATGTCTATTTATCTATACATTGTTTCAACTACAATATGGACAATCTGCAATCTGTATTTCTTTTCGCTCATCTCCACAATTTGTTTTTACTATATTTACCAGATAGAGTGGGCTTATTTTACCATATATGTAGGGAAGTTACCACTCTTTTTCACAAGTTGGTGGTTTATGGTAGTTTAAACTTTGTAAGGAACTAGGTAAAACAGTGCGGAAGTATGTTGACCGGTTGCGCGACTTGTCCTGGGGCGGCAACCATCTTGCACTGTTTAAAGGATGATCTGTCTTTTTTTTTCTTTTTTTCTATTCTCGCTTGACAGTACAGAGTGAGAATGGGTCATTGAATGTTTATTTTATTAGTAGCAACGTAAAACACGGAAGAAATCGATTTATTGTCACTTTGATTTTTCAAAAATGTCACTAAATGCAGGTATTTGTACGACATTACCTTGCGATTACAATCGATTATTACATTATTTATTTATTATTTTTATTTCATTCATTTTTTGCATTTTTTTTGTCATTTACTTTTTTATTCCTTGCACCTTTTTCTAGGTTTTTCCGAACGTCCCTGTTAGAAGCGACTGCCTGGACAGAGATTTAATGATTGAATCACACAGCGAACATGTTTATCTAGTTATTGTAAACTCTCTTGTGTAAAACATGGTTTAGTCCTATGGTTGGCTAGAACTCCTTTACGTTTGAAAGTTTATGAAATAGATTTACACTGACTTAATATCTTAGCATGCATATTACAAAACTTTCTACTAAAGATATGTAAGTGAAATTAAACTGAATAAAAAAATGCAATTAAACGAGCTGTTGAGTTCTTCTGTGTTTTAGTGTAACTTCGAATTGGCTAAGACAATGGAAAACATTATTCAATATGGTTTCTGTAGGACAGGACTCGTATATCCTTTCTGACCATGTAGTCACTTTATTGATCGGGAACTCTTGACAGCCTACTGCTGGTCTCCATCATGTGATGATTTCATTTGTCACATTAACATACAGCCGACGCATTTGCCTGTTAAAATTTTCTCAGTGTTGTTTTCACTGTTTTCACATGAATTCATCCTTAATCCTAGTCGGTCCGGGGAGGGCTTTCGAAGCCCCTCTCCCTACTGTCCTCGCTAAAATGTTGAATAACTTCAAAACCGTTCAAGCTATGGCCACCAAACTTTGCGCCTTTTCCTAAAAATTATCTCGGGACATTTAAAATTCGTCGTGACCTGTTCGTCAATATTTAGGTTAAGAATGGAACCAGGTTTATAGTAAAAGCAAAGATATGACAAAAGGCTTTAAAACCAAATTAATTGGTTGTTCATTTCGCTAGAACTCTTTTTCAATCCAGAATATCTGTATCACGATATCGATTATATTTCTTGTGATATCAAAATAAGTATATCCCTATATTTACAAATTTAGGCTCAAAGCAAATAATCTCAGTTTAATCTCCTACGACCGACTTTGAATGGAGTGAAAGGAATCCGTGAAGTGGGGAATCATCAGTTATTGGAAGGGAAATACACCTATTACTCCAATTTCCAAGTTGAGAAGGATTCTTAAATAAGTGCAGGTTCCTTTAGAAATCGGTGTCCACAATTATATGTTGCCCAAGGATATCTATTTCAGCTGATAATCGATACGGTTTATTACGAGTAAAAACAAACGTTTTGCATACAATTGGATAAACAGTACCATAGAGCAACTTTTAGAAAACGACTGAGAGTGAAAGACCAAAACTCCGAGGTTATTTTACAGGCTGAGAAAACCTAGTCTTATTTATTTACAGTCATATTTTTTATAGAGGTACTTATTACTGACAAAATGCGAGTCAGTGTTTGCAAAAATACCTAGTTGCGAGATTAAGTCCTTTATAGCGGGGCAGACACTAAAGAAGTGAAGGGAGATAAAAACATAGTATATATACAATAACATTGAGAGGAAGACCAATATTAGAGTATCCTTTGCATGCGTGAAAAACCGAAACTCCTCGTAAACACTTGTTATCAAACGCACGTCACGTCGGACGAAATATTTGTTTCCTCTCTCATTTATTCCCTCCGAGTTTTGGAATTTTATGTACTAAACGTCAACTAATGGTTATCGCTGATTGTTAACGAATTGTGCACGTTGCTTGGGTCCATAAAAAAATGTTAGAATTTTTGGAGTGAGAATAAGATCTCATCGTTGGAAAGGTTAAGGTAATACAAGCGAAGATATTTCGATTTAATATTAGCTGCAATATAAACAGTGAGGCGCACAGCAACCAAGCGTGGAACATGGTAACTACGCTTGTTTCTTTCCATGAGTGAGTCTCTCAGTCTATTGCTCATGGATATTGATGTGTTAACCCTGGGACGTTAACGCAAAGTGATCTCCCCACCGTGGTACAAGGGGGAAGAGAGTTTTTGACATGTTCAAGTATTTCTGAAAGATTATACCTTCAGTGGAGAGCCTTTGATCTTCCCTAAAAGATGAGGTATATTTTATCGGTGGTGGCGCTGCTGGAGTCCTGTGACGTCACACAATAATTATAAAGCAAGTAAAAACCGCGAATATTGGTATTTTTTGTGCTTGAAATGTAGAATAAATCTTCATTTTATCCACAAGATCTACTTTCATCGTTTCACTGAAAAATGGGTAGACCACATGCTAGTTATGACATCATATCTCGTAACCATAGTAACTGATCATCACTAAACTTGTCTCACAATGCGCTTGAGGGGTAAAAGAACAACTACTGAAAACTTGAGGTGCTGATGTTCAATCCTCTAGGAAAAAAAGTCAGAAACTCCTTAGAGGGGATTGTCATCCACCTTCACAATACAGTAATTAGTTTTTGCATGAGTGAAACTTTTGACCAATGTTACAATATGTTTTGACTTTTTTTTTCACCGGCTTTTTATAGCTAGCCATAATCCATTAAAACAAAATTTAATTTGTGCCTTTACCCTTTGTGGTTACCCTATCACGTCTTTCGAAGTGGTTACAATTTGAGTAAAGGCAGGAGAGTAGAGAATAATTCCTGAATTAACATTACGTGATTAAATGACAGTTTGTCAGGTTAATTGACCTCCTTTGCAGTGGTGGGTCATACAAACATTAAAATCTACAGGTAATTTGAAAGATTAAAATTCTTAATTCATCTATTTATAAAATTGCTGACGAATACAATCTCTATAAGATCAAGTAAAACTTACAAAAAAACTAAGGAGAAGAGAAACATTTTAGCAGTTAGTTTGTTGTTTACGGATTGAGAAAAAAAAAGCGCACATATCCATCATTAAAATCTGATACCTTGACAATCAATAATAATGAAAGTACGAACAAACGTTTTTTGATACATGTACTCGACCCTATACGACAATACTACTTGCGGGTAACTTATTATTTTCAACTATTTTGCTATTTTGCGCAGTAAACGCAATTTGTTCAGAGAAACTGTTCCATCTGAGTCCGTGAAATCCATTTTGTGAGCGTCATTTTAAAACTCCTTACATTTTCCTTTTTTTTTTTTAGATTACTTAGAGGAAGTAATAAATAACAGGAAAAGACTGAAGACAAACCTTAATAGAGATATTAGCTTTTATGCAGCTGCACTAAAGATACCGGTTACATGTTGAATGTGACTAATTGCATCAAGCACCAAAGATTAGCTTATGAGTAACCGGCCAGCGTGAGCAATTATTTGTAAAACGATAACTATTATTTGATCTCCGTTCACTTACAAGTGTTTACGAGTTTTGATGCTTCTGCATGCGAACTACGCTAATATATTGGTCTTTCATTCAAAAATATTTTGTATCCCTTATATTTTTATCCGTCTCTTCACTTCTTTATATATAGTAAAAAGATAAAGCAATGGTCAGTGGCTGTTTTCTCTTTTACGTAACCCCGCTATTACGGATTCGATATCGCTTTTTTGCAAACACCAACTCGTATAGTGAATGGTTCCTTAAATAAACGTTCCTCAGGGTTATAAATAAATCAAGCAATAGCAGTGGATTTGGTTAACCTGTGAAATAACCTTTAGTTAGAGTTTTAACAAGAGTTTTTTCAGGTTTATGCAAAACATTTGAACAATATTGCAAAATTATATTGATCTAACAGCTAAATAGATATCCCCGTGCAACTTATATGAGTAAGAACGCCCATTGTAAAGTAACCACTAATTTAAGAGTCATGCTCAAGTTTTTCTATTAGCGAAAATTGAAGAAATTCGTATGACTCCTCCAATAATCATTCACCACATCACGGATTCCATGTACTCCATTGAAGAATTGGTTACATGAGTCAGGATATTCAATTTCCATGAATCGTCGAACCCAACAGGAATTAATAACCATTTAAATTTACTATTTTTCAAGAGAAAATATGTATCCTTTCTAATTTGTTTTTATTGTCAAGCTATTTGAATAAGCTGAGATGATTTGCTTTGTTTCTTCAGTTGCACAGTACTGCAGATGTACTTAATTTTTTAAATGATATTGTGATACAGATATTCATTACTAAAAAAGAGATCTTGCGAAACTTGCTACTTTTGGTCAGAGCTCCGCTTTTACAATATTCAGTTTTGTCATGTATCATTTTACAAGCAGGTTAAATTTTACCTTCATCTATGAGCACTGATCAGGAAATTTTCTGTTGCAAATCAATCTCGGATGTTGTAAAAAAATACTAACATAAAAGGAGGAAGTGGTAATATTACCGCTATTTGCCAACGCTTCTGTAGCTGCAAAAAATTGTAATTGATCAGGTTTATATCGATAGCCTTTATAGAAGTAGTCAAATCGCAGTGGTGTAGGGTCTAACGCGTTGGAAAATAGGCAGCCAAACAGCTTAAANGATTCGATATCGCTTTTTTGCAAACACCAACTCGTATAGTGAAT